ACTACTACCACTACTACCACTACTACCACTACTACCACTACTACCACTACTTCCACTGCTACCACTCCCTCCTACTCCTACTACTACTACTACTACTACTACTACTACTACTACTACACTCCTGCTGCTGCTGCTACGACGACGACGACTACTACTACTACTACACTCCTGCTGCTGCTGCTGCTGCTACGACTACTACTACTACTACTACTACTGCTGCTGCTGCAGCTACTACTACTACTACCACCACCACTACTACTACCACTACTACTAGTACCACTACTACTACCACCACTCCTACTACTCCTGCTACTCCTGCTGCTGCTGCTGCAGCTACTGCTGCTACTACTACTATTCCTGCTCCTGCTTAGGGGGGGTGGCTTTGCCACAAAACTCTACCCCGCAAAAGGCAAAAGTTTTGCGAAAGTTCAGCTCAAGATTGGCGAAAGTTCACCCTGCCACATCTGACCCCCAGCCCATTATGAGTAAGTCTGAGTGACCGGCTACTACAGTGATTCTTGCAATTTTGATTCTTGCTGACACCCAGGAGAAACAAAAGAGATGTACAGGGTGTCAACAGTTAAGTAGAAGACACATGCTGACAAACAGTGAAGTTTTTATTTTGTATTTGCCAGCAAAGAAGAAGCCATTGACGTGAACAGAATTGATATCCATCATACAACTTACACGGCACACGTAAATACAACATACTTCGGCGAAAGATAAAACGCAGGAAGGCGAAAATTTGGCTAAAGTAATGTTTTTTGGCTAAGATGACGGATCCCGGATAAAGGAATTTAGATCAACACCCATAGATTAAGGATCATTATTTGTTTATATTCATGGTTCAACATTGAGTGTATAGCAGGAATTCATTTGTTTGTTTGTTTCTTTGGAGGGCATTCTGCTTTCTTGAACCTTTTGCACCACCGGAGTGTCACCAAAACCGGCTCCGGACTGCTGGGTGTGTTGTGTCGGCTCAGCCAGGAGACCTTGCTGTTGGAACGCTTGGCCAAGCGACTGCAGAAGAGCAGCGAGGAGAACGGGCCAGCCGAAACTGTGGACACCATAAATTGGCCATCTAATCTAATGGGTCTACTCACTACTCTACTTCAGTTCGTCATGCCAGCTTGGTCGTCGTTTTTCGTGTTTTCAGTGGATGTGTTCCGAAAAGAACACAGCAGGTAAAGACGCCTTGACGCGACATTGTGTGTCATTTGTTTGTCACAACTGAGAAATGATATGATATACTTTACAGGAACGCTGAGCGCGCTTGGGGGGTTGAAGGGTGATGTAAGGTGCATGAATGTAGGTGGGTTTGTACGTACTGTTTGTACAACAATGTGCACGATATCCGTGTGATTGGCTTGTAGCATGTGCCCAGGGTTCAACCAAAATCTACCGTTTGCCCTCGTAGAGGGCTTCCACACAGTGAGCCTGGGTCCTTGGGCGCAAACCACTCTGCTTGGGCGACCTGTCGATAGCGGCCGGAAGCCACTTGAGATGAACTGCAAAAGCTCCACTTCTTGAAAAACCGGGGTGTGAAAACACAAATCTGGCAACTACCAACTGTTTCATCTCGTTGAAGCTGGAGAACCCCAAGTGAATTTGATTCTTAACGCCCCCGAAGGGACTAATCACCATCGGCTGGAGCACCAACAGGTGGCTGCGTTGGTGCTGTTGATCTACGGTGTCCACGAACGCCTCACGGGCCAACTGCCAGCGGCAGAGCATTGGTTGCTGGTGCGGAGCTCGGGCGAGTTGGCAATAGATCTTGTCCAAACCTATAAGCAATGGCCTCCAACCTAGAATCGATGGCCTCCAACCTAATAACAATGGCCTCCAACCTATATAATAGCAATGGCCTCCGACCGAATAGCGATGGCCTCCAACCTAATAGATCTTTTCAACATATGGGGATGGGTCAAAATCTGGAGCTCCAAAACCATGTATCTTTAACCTTCCAGGTACTCATAGTCAACCGGTCGGTCTCTAGGTTTTAACCCACAACCATATCACACGGTGAAGCTGGCGATACTCAAAAGGGGTAGTGTTATTTTCCACGTGGTTACTGTAATTCTTATATAATTTGGTGCGTTGCAAAATGTGTCCCGGATTCCAGTTGAATGGCTATAGTTGGAGTATGTTGGAGTCACTCCTACTGTACCTAGGCTTCTGGGCTGGCAGGCGGACAGAACCTGCCATAGACTTGCTTATTTATGACACCCCAAAGGCTTTAGCGTTCCAATGGTCCACGACTGTTCGACTGTTCGACTCGCCACGGTCCAACCGGACAGCAACACAGAGTCGAACTCGCACCCTTCATCTGGTCGTTGAGTTCATTGTTGACAGATGTTTTTGCTTGATGTTTTGCTTGATGTTTTTGCTTGAGTTCATTACATCAACACAAATTGATGTCATCTTCTTTGAACTCGATCTGTTATCAAACACTGTGATTAGTTACATACCTTACCAGCCTCACTTTGTTGCCTTCCATGTCATATCTCACCTTCATAATCTCCTTGGCCTCAATCCTTCTCATGATCTCATTTTGCCTCGCCCCATCTCAACTGCTTTGGTATTTACCTACCATTGACCTACCCTGTGTCATGAAATGGTTAAGAGTTAACATGACTGTTTGATTTTGTTTTTGCACATTGCAACATCAGCTCACTACACAGTTTGACGTGTGCTCATCATGTTGCTCTACTTGTGTGTGAGGGCTACCAATCTGGAGTCACACCCAAGCCAGCTATAGGTCATTCTTCCGTTCCCTGTCACCATGTCCCTGACTCACGTGTTCTTGGTTTCCTGTCATCTTCAAAATATATATAGTTATATATATATAGCTATAACTATATAATATACAGTGGTTTCAGAGTAGATGGCACAGACCCCAAGATGTCCTTTAGATGGGGGTCCATATAAACCACCTCTGGGGGTTTGTGCCATCTACTCTCTATTATATGTTATCTATTTATAAAAGCTATCCCGGGAGCCCACAGGACCCGCTTGTTTGGACCGTCAACCGCGCAAAGCGCCACGGGTGCCGTTTTCCGAGGAACGGTCGACCGAACCTCCGCCGGACCGGGCCTCGGATTTCGTCCGCCAGGAGCAGGACGCCTTGCTGTGTCTTGCTGAATGTGAACTGCGGCCTTTGGAGGACGTCGCTGCGTATTGCCACAGCAATTTGCTGAAGGCGCGCATGCTTAAGACATCCCTTTGCCGCAAAATGCCGAAAGAAACATTCATGTTTTTCCAGAACTCGGACCTATCAGTTGGGAAGGTCGCAAGTAATGTTGGATCCTGATTAGTAAAGGGAGGTCCCCCCCCCCCTCCCTCAAACAAATGGTGTTCCTCTATAATAAACTACCACCAAAACAAATCTGGATTCCTGTGAGAATTCCTGTGAGAAAGCTGTCAGTTTTGAAGAAACCTAGAGAAAACTATATCAGCTAATGAATCATAATCATTGGCCTCAGGAGATAAGGAAAAGGAAGATTCCATGAACATTTGTTCCATTGGAAAAAAAAATCACAATTGAGAACCCAAAAACAAATCTATTATTGAGGATCAGGTGCCTTCCTGGTCTACTACCTTGAAAATTTGTTTAGGCGCAATGTTTTATAAAGGGTTTAATTTGGAATTTGTGGTTTTGGTCAGCTGTCAGTTTTGAAGAAACCTAGAGAAAGCTATATAGCTAATGAATCATAATCATTGGCCTCAGGAGCTAAGGAAAGGAAGATTACATGAGCAATTTTTTGCAGTGGAAAAAACTTTTCACAATTGAGAACCCAAAGGCAAATCTATTATTGAGGATCAGGTGCCTTCCTGGTCTACTACCTTGAAAAATTGTTTAGGAGCAATGTTTTATAAAGGGTTTAATTAGGAATTGGTGGTTTTGGTCAGCTGTCAGTTTTGAAGGAACCTAGAGAAGCTATATCAGCTAATGACTCATAATCATTGGCCCCAGGAGCTAAGGAAAAGGAAGATTCCATAAACAGTTTTTCCAGTGGAAAAACAAATCACAATTGAGAACCCAAAAACAAATCTATTATTGAGGATCCAGGTGCCTTCCTGGTCTACTACCTTGAAAATTTGTTTAGGAGCAATGTTTTATAAAGGGTTTAATTAGGAATTGGTGGTTTTGGTCAGCTGTCAGTTTTCAAAGCCTAGAGAAAGCTATATCAGCCAATGAATCATAATCATTGGCCTCAGAAGGAATTCAAACCCTTATTAATTAGGTTTCCAATATAAAAAAAATAGGGGCCCAAAAAAATTAGCATTATTCAGGACCACTTTTTCAATCAGGGGGTGCTGAATGATTTTGGAAAATTTTAGCATTATTGCGGACCAGTTTACTAATCGTGATCCAACATTACAAACCATTTGTATCCCCAATCGCCGTGAAGGGGATGGGGATTCTGTGGGGGGGGGGGGCGCTTTAAGCGTTTTGGCTTCGGCTTCGGGTCTTTGAGGGGGCCTCTGCGGTGGCGCAGCAGCGCCGGAAGCTCCATTGGGAGGCGGGGATGGCTGGCGTCGCTTCTGAGAATGGATGCTCATCAGGTTGCAATTGTATGTGGGTGATGACTCAATGACTATAGTCACTAGTCAGATGGTGAATTCTCGCTTGCTGGAGCCTAAGCGTTTTGTCCAGTTGCGACTCGACACACGCAACCCATCAGTACTGTGCAGTAGGTCTGGGTGCATGTCGTTGGTTAATCAGACTGAGCATGGATTGCTATAGCACAGGGTGCCAACAGCAGGATTGCCTTAAGAAGCAGATTTAGCGCACAAAGCTTTGCAGCAAACGTGTCTCGAACACCTGAACGTGTCTCAATCAGAGTATGGGGTTTTGTCTCGAAACAAGGAACACCAGGAAGAGTCGAAGAGTCGTCAAAGCATGCTTTTCGGGCACCCGAAAAGACAATCATGTTCAGTGGATCGAACTTAAGTTCGATAAAAACAAACCATTCCCCTAGTAGCGTGGCACTTGTTTCTACTAGCTTCTTGTTACTACTAGTAAGGCACTTGTTACTACTAGCGTGGCACTTGTTTCTAATGGCTTCTTGTTACTACGACTGAAAAATCGACCAAAGACACACCTCCACTCAGCTTCTCAGCGAGGACGTAGCTAGTCTACTCTTCCAGCCCTTCGTTCGATGGTCTGAGTGAGACGTGAGGTGCAAGTCTGTGAGAAGCCATCGGAGTTCAAGGACCGCGCAGACGACGATCAACAGATCGAACTGGGTTGGTCCATCTTCTCAGGTGTCAAACAGATATTAAATGATATCAAAATAAAAGAAGATGAGGTACCCTGAAGCATTCTGCTGCATGCATCTTGAATTAGTTCAATAATGTTCAAGATGTCAACTATACTTCAACTTTACATAATATATATATATATAGTCATGTTTCATCAACACGTGCCCATGTGCAGGCACTCCAGATGTAATTCCTTCACACCCGTTGGGCACCATTGGGCACCGGGTCTCCAGCGGATCTGCCACGTGCCGCCCAGGAGAAGCCCCGAGGCTCCCTCAGGACGTTGCTGCCAGTTGGGGGAGAAGAGGCTAGTAGGGATCATCCAAACTTGGGAGGACACATGACGAATACATGGTTGTCGATCTAGAGGTCCTAATAGGATCTAATAGGGATAGTTGATGACGATGACCCTGGAACCATGCCAAAATCTCATTTGGCGAAAGTTTGTTCTCGAGTTGGCGAAAGTTTATGTTTGTCGAAAGATATGGCTACTGCTGCTACTACTACTACTACTCCTGCTGCTGCTACTACTACTACTTTTACTACTACTACTACTGCTGCTGCTACTACTACTCCTGCTACTGCTACTACTACTGCTACTACTACTAGTACTACTAGTACTACTAGTACTACTACTACTACTACTACTACTACTACTGCTTCTACTACTACTACTCCTGCTGCTGCTTTGGGGGCGCGGCTTTGCTACAAAACTCTACCCCGCAAAAGGCGAAAGTTTGGCGAAAGTTCAGCTCAAGATTGGCGCGAAAATTCACCGTGCCACATCTGACCCCTAGCCTATTATGAGTAAGTCTGAGCGACCGGCTACCACAGTGATTCTTGCAATTTTGATTCTTGCTGACACCCAGGAGAAACGAAAAAGACGTACAGGGTGTCAACTGTCAAGTAGAAGACACATGCTGACAAACAGTGAAGTTTTTATTTCATATTTGCCAGTACAGAAGAAGCCATTGACAAGAAACATGATATCCGTCATACAACATACATGGCAAACATAAATGCAAGATACTTCGGCGAAAGATAAAACGCAGGAAGGCAAAAGTTTGGCTAAGTTAATTTTGTTGGCTAAGAATGACGGATCCCGGATGAAGGAATTCAGATCAACACCCACATACGAATACCTTGCCTGAAGCACTGGAGAACGAAGATCGCGTCCATGAACACAACGAGGATATTATCCAAGGACACGAATGCTTGACAACAAAAAACATGTTCCATTTTTTTGATTGGTCATTGCTTTTGGCTCTTACATGGCTGGATTGTTCGATTGGATGATCCAGCGCTGGACCCATCATCCTTCAGTACAACAACGGACGCAACAGAAAGTTTGTTGTGTTTGTTGACTTGAAACTTCGCATCTCATGGCTCACTGCCAGGTGTTCAAGGCAGTGAACTTAAACGTATTATGTCGTTTAAATTCAACGCCCCTCCACGTTGGTATCGCCTATGAAGCCACCAGTGTTTGCTTTCACTATATATATATGATGTAAAACAAAATTTGGCGTCAAACAGAAGTAGGACACCAAGGCTCCCCAAAACTAGCGGGTGGGCGAAAAAAACATCACCTGTTCAACCCTTCAAAAGCAACCCACCGATCTTCGAGGATTTGTGGAAGCTCGGCAGGACTCGGCCCAAGGTGAGCCCGGTGAAGCCGACGGTCTCGTCGGCTTCGGGCTACCCCGCACCGAAGGCGGGCAACGTGACGAAAAGGGCCGAATTGGTTTGTCATGGGAAGCTCCCAATACTGAAGACATTTGGAGTAGCCGCACCTCTCTTGAGTGCAGTAAAGCTGCGTAGTTCGATCATGTTCGATCAATCTTTGGGTGGAATTGGAGACACCTTTGTGTGGCAACATTTTGTCAGATCCGGTGCTGACAGACAGACATGCATTCCAGAAGTATAGTGCACAGTTGGACACAGTTGCAAGTCTGGCATTTGCCTGTGTACAAGCGCCAAAAGCACGGTAGGCGGCGGTGCCAAGTGATGAGGAGGCAACAGAGACCGAGACGGAGACAGAGGACGAGGCCGAGTGTGCACTTGTTGCGCTTGTCAGGGGTCTTAATATGTCATGACATGTCCTCTAAAATGAAACCAGGGAATGAGGTTTTGCGGTCAAATCTTTGCAGTGAACTACTACGGCTCTCAGAGAGATGACCATGCAGAAGAGTTAGAGTTGGTGTCCGGGCAAATGTTCACCGGTTTGTTCACGGTTTTTGTCCATGAATTTTTGGCTGCATGGTTTCAACGAAAAGCATCGCACCTTCGACTTGCAGGGTCCCAAACCTGGCAGCCGCCCCCGCGTCGTCGCGGCGGGACTTTGCAGCGAGGAGACCGGGACGCGGGACGGCGGGACGCGAGACGGGCATTCAGCCGGTCGAGCGGAAGGGGTCAACGATGAGGTCGAGGCAGAGAGGGTGAGGGAATGTGGTCAGAGCGGCGATCAAAGTGTGATTGTCGCGGAGCCCCCACGTAAATATGATAATTGTAATATAGGAATATATAACAGAAAGAGTTGATGGTACCATGAAAGACTTTAGAGACCAATCCACTTCATATAACACATTGTGAGTGCATAGACGTTTTTCAATTGTTCATCCTGTGCGTGCGCTTGGTCTTGGCATGGATGGCTTCCGGCTAGTCCATCGCTAGCCCATGGCTCCAATCTCAGCAGCCTTGGTGGAGTGCTGGCTGCTATACTAGCTGCTCGCCACAAGTGTCGATTTCAACCAGTCCAGGAGCAAGCCAAAGTCTCCAACTCAGGCGGGGTCTTTGGGAGGAGAGTTGGATGTTCGTCCTGAGTCAAGAATGAAACGATTCCCACAATCTGATTATTGTTTTTAATTTTAGCCGCTTGTTGGAATTGAAGTCGTGGTGCTGGAAAACGCAAGTAAAGATATAACATATATATGTTAAGCATTATATTACCAATTAAAAGCCCACCTATGCAGGTAGAGATCCCACAGTCAGAAGGAACACCCTTGCACTTCGCTTGCATGGGTATACATCATATTAGATCATATAGGAATAGGGAGGAATTGAGTGGCGAGGATGTGTTTGCAAAGAACACATATACGAACACATCCATAATTGTGGGAAGAATGACGGCAGATGCTCGTTTCGGAAGGAAATACCAAGCAGTTTTCCTCGCAGGTTTCACAGGACATTGGGTCAGGCAGCCGACTCCCAAGCTGTCCACCAACCATTAAACAAATGAGCTACATTGAGACCCTCGAACTGAGCTGGGGGAGACCTCAAACTTGGGGTGCCGTCAACATTGGGTCAACCAATGGTTTCAGGATGTTTCAGGATGTTTCAAGTGCTTGGCAAGCCTAGACATGCTTCACTAACCCATTTCTGGGACATGGTTGCTTAGACATGCTCGGTGCTCGGAACGGACGTCCTGGAGACCCACCCGGTCCACCCCGGCCGAGGCGTTCCAAAGCCACACGAGGACCAGGAGAGGGCGGCTTCGGTCAAGGAAACTGGATAGACTCTGTACATCAAATGGATTCTGATTCAGTTTTGGTAGTTTACGCAGGGAATGTATCAGCCATGTAATGTACTTTTGGGACAGTGTTTCACTCATTGACCCGTAAAAATATACACAGGAACAATAGGCAGGTTGTTTGGGGAATTGGGACTGTAGCAATCAAAGGATACATGTCTCTACTTCCAACTCATGCAACGAGCTGTTGGGCCTGTCCGTGCTGGGCCTGTCGATGTCCCAGTGTTCATGGAGCCTGTCATGTCGAAGCTGGAGCCAAGACGTGCATGATTTGCTTAAGGAAAGGAGATCCAAACAGAATCATCAGGCCTGGAAGTGTTAACATCCCTACCCCCTTTGGTAAGATTTGGGGGGAACCTAAAAGAATGTAACTTACAATTTTCACGGGATCCCATAAATGTTTGTTGCCCTCCCCCTCGTTTTTGGCCCTACTTAAGTAGAGGCCATATTCAGGGCTGCTCCCCCCTGGATGTTTGCTGTATGTTGCTAAGAAATGAGGAGGTGGCTGGCATGTGTCAGCATGCAATTTTAGGGGAGGCTGGAGAAAATGTAACTCACCACCCCACGTCCTAAGTTACCTTTTCTTGACACCCCCTAAAAAAGATGTATAAGTAAGAAGCATCGTGAAACCGATGCCCGAAACAATGGTGGCACCCTGTCTTGGAAGCATCCCATGGCTCTTTGTATTGTATTTCTATGGTTTTCTGGTGGCCTAACCCAAGACAGCTTACACTTTCCTGTCTTTGAGGGTGGGGAGCTGGGGATTTGGTCTTAGTGTCAAAAGGATGCAAAAGGTACATGATTAACCTTGCTACTAGCGGTCGGCTTAAGTCGTATCAACCCCTGGAAAGTCGTATCGGGAGGCTGTGCGCTAGGCAAGAGTTGAGATTTGTAAGATTCGGACTTTGTAAAACCTACATTACGAAAGCCAGCCTTCGTAGAAGGCGCTAGCGGAGTTGTGTCTGGCGAACGAAGTGAGTAGTTAGGGGGTTTGGGGGGGTGGCCCGAGAAAGGTATACGTCAACTCGGCACATGCTGGGGGAGGAGGGTGTTCCGAGGGAAGGTTTGTTGAGGTTGTGTTGGAGGGGATTTTTGAGGGGTGGTGATGCAAGAAATGCCAAATGCATCATTTGCATCATCTGAATGGAAAGGTGTAGTTGGCACCTTGCAAGGTATAGAGACCTAGGGTAGCCATAGTGCAGCTACCAGGTATAGTACTTCAAGTTGCCTTTCCGTCAACCGCTTGAGAACCTCTACACACGCACAGCAATCCACAGCTTTGAAGTCCCATTCGTGCTTTGAACTTGTATAGGTGTGTAAGAGGTATAGCAACATAGTATTTATACGGACCCAGGGTAGCTACAAGTAGCTACAGTTCTGTTCCCGGGTATGGCGCGCATGAGGCTTCAAAGCTGTGGTTTTCAAGCTAAATT